CGTGGTTCTGTTGGCAGCATGGTTCTGTTAGCAGTATGGTCCTGTTAGCAGTATGGTTCTGTTAGCAGTATGATCCTGTTAGCAGTATGATTGAGCATGAACTTTGTTGACACTGTTCGTAGCATGGTACCGTTAGTAGTGTGGTCCTGTTAGCAGTGTGGTCCTGTTAGCAGCATGATTGAGCATGAACTTTGTTGACACTGTTCGTAGCATGGTACCGTTAGTAGTGTGGTCCTGTTAGCAGTGTGGTCCTGTTAGCTACTAACAGAACCACACTGCTAACAGGACCATGCTGCAAACAGTTAGCAGCATGGTCCTGTTAGCAGTATGGTCCTGTTAGCAGTGTGGTTCTGTTAGCAACATGGTTCTGCTAGCAGCATGGTCCTGTTAGCAGTATGGTCCTGTTAGCAGTATGGTCCTGTTAGCAGCATGATTGAGCATTAACTTTATTGACACTGTTAGTAGCATGATACTGTTAGCTACTAACAGAACCACACTGCTAACAGGACCATGCTGCTAACAGTTAGCAGCTTGATCCTGTTAGCAGCATGGTCCTGTTAGCAGTGTGGTTCTGTTAGCAGCATGGTTCTGTTAGCAGTATGGTCCTGTTAGCAGCATGATTGAGCATGAACTTTGTTGGCACTGTTAGTAGCATGGTACTGTTAGCAGTGTGGTCCTGTTAGCAGTGTGGTCCTGTTAGCAATGTGGTTCTGTTAGCAGCATGGTCCTGTTAGCTACTAACAGAACCACACTGTTAACAGGACCATGCTGCTAACAGTTAGCAGCATGATCCTGTTTTAACTATAACTGGCGAACTGTCTATTATTCAGTCAATTTTATAGATAAGCTAAAATCTGGTGTGGTATTACTAGCTGAGAGTCATCCCAAAGACATACTCTGAAGGCTATGCATTTTGTATGATCTTTGGCTTTACTGTGGGAGTCAATCCCGTGTGTCTGTTAGCAAAATATCTCAAACCATTCATTACACAGACAACTACAACTAAATTACTTTGAGTCTACCTGATTCAAAATGGCCACCACAGCTTGCTGATATTTCAAAAACAAAAATAGCTGTAACTCAGTCAGTTTTACAGATACTGGCCTCAAAGTGGGCGTGGTAGTAGCTGAGAGTCATCCCTAACACACACTCCATTAACTGATTGCACAACGTCCTTCATTAAAACGTTGGCATGAAAGTTGGCGGGCGATATGCATTTCTCCAAGGGATGTTGTTTTTTTTTTTAAGAACTAATTGACAATTTGGTACAAGAGTTTTATAAATTTTTAAAAATGTTCTAAATTTTCTGGACTGAGGGGGCGGGGTTTATGCAAGTTCTGTTTGTCCTGATCCAACCAGTTTTCTGCTCTTTGACTAAAAATCACAACATTCAAGGAGGATTTAGAGGAAGCTGTTCTGATTAGAAGCAAATATAATAACAACAACAACAACAATAAGCAAAGTCCAGCTGCATTTGATGTTCTGCTTTTAGAGTTTTAATCTTGAGTTAATTCTGTTTTGATCATTAAATCAAGAGAAAACACAAACATTTGTATTTTGAATCAAAAGTCAAGTGTAATTATTCTTAATTGGATCCCTTATTTTTAAGTAGAAATCAATAAAACGATGCACTTTGGTATCAAAAAGGCGTCACTGAGCTCTGACTGAAATAGGTTTAAATATATATATTTTAAAATTAAACAGATTTTTGTTTGTTTTAAAGCCCTCCCCCAGCTGGGTTTCTAAAAACCGAGGAAACGACGAGGAGGAAACCTGTACCTGTTTGTGTTCTCGGAAAATGTCCTCGGCTCACATTTTAGCGGAGTGAGGGACTCATGAGAAACCATGGAAACACACCAGACAAAAACCTCTGATTCACTCGACCACAATTATTCAGCAGCCTCAGCGTTCTGTTGTTTTTCTCTCCTCGGTACAGTCCTGCCGTCATTCCCACCCAAAAAAAAAAAACAGATCATGGAAAAGAGCTGCAGTTTTCAAACCAGATGTACCGAATATTACAGTAATTACACTTTCTGTTTGTTTATTCCTCCAACATGTGGAGGGGTATTTTCCTTTCCTTAAAAAAACAAAACCAGCAGCCTCGAGTCGATGCTGATCTTTTCCAAAAAAGCTTTCTGTGTGAACGCATAACAACAAGTCCTGTGTGTGTTCTTTTATAACTCATGAATCAAACACCAAGATCAACGCGTTCGTTTATCTAAAGGTCACTTTGAAACTTTACTGTCAGGGTCGGTTTCTTTTTCTCGCCTGAAAGTTTGAATCTTTGATGGAAACACAATAAATGACGTGAAGCCGAGGACAAATATTTCTGGGATTATTTCCACAGCTACAGATTTGTGGGATTAAACGTCTGATTTCCAGGAGTTTGGATCCTTCCACTGCAGCAGAATCTCAAAGTCCCTCAGACTGCATCAGGTCCACCTTGCAGGTTTTGGGTTGGACCGCCTTAAAGGTCCCTGGTCATGGAGCGAAGAGGGGGAATTGGGAATACTTTCCATCTGTGTGCATGTTGTGAGCACGATAACTTGAAAAATAGGGGACGAACCAACTTCCATTTTGGCGTGTGGCTGCATGGGCCATAAGAAATGTGTCT